CTGCACCTCTCGCCTACGAGTGCTGGTCTATGAAAGCTGGGCTAGGGTAGAACGGTACTTGATAACGTTACTTGTAGCGCATTTGCTTAAAGGAATCTTGCGCGGAAAAATCATGATTCTATTTCAGCCATAAATCACTGGCTTGAGACTCATTATCCACGATAATAGTGAAAAGAACTGAAGTATTGCTTTCGTTTTGATTAGAAATTCGAAAACTCGAAAAGGCTGCTACGCGTTCGAATTGCCCACGGACGTCTTTCACGAATGCTGGCGACGGGGATGCTCAAACTTGGTTCTTGGAGTGCCTTCACTAGAAGCTCTTTCTGGCCTTCTGCTTCGTTGCATTCACATCTTACACTTCTACTCCATCCTATTCCATCGATCGATTTGTCTCCACTCTCCGAAATCGCGCGCTTTAACCCGATTCTCTCATTGCGTCGCCTGGTACGTAGCCGGCCAAACGCCGTCTTCTTTCCATGCCTCGCCTGGCTCTGCCTCCTGGTCCTTCGATGGTCCATAACGTGTAGTTTTTGTACGTTTGTTTCTCTTCAGAAACCGAATCTTCATGCGTGAAACTTTGTGTGCTATTTCCAGTGATCACAACTGACATATTCATGTTAGGAAAGAGTGCAAGAATTTTCCGCGCAAGATTCCTTTAAGGAGAGGTGCGGGTTAGAGTTTCGCCTGGGGTGAAAGCTTTATTCATAACCCAGCATTTCTGTGAATCATTTTTCTGTTGTCGCGTCGATTCAAAAAATCAAAATCAAATCAATCAAAAGCGAAAAAGTTTCAATAAGGGCTAACTTATGATATAATCGTCCTCTTCAGAGGTACAGCGGTCATGATAGGGGCAAAAAAGACTTCAGAAGAAAAGCATTCTTAGCCAATGATGAAAGAAACGCTCATTAATAAGCCACCTACCTGAACACTTGGGTTGAGTCTTGTTGTTTGATGTGTATGTATCAAAAGCTGTGAAGCCGTTGTGAGCAGCTACACAAAAGCAGCCGTTTGAATCGCATTGAACCGTCTCGTAATATCCTTAAGTTATTCATACTAGGAGGCCTCAATAAGCAGAGAAGTCAGAAAATTAGCAACTGTAAACCTGAGAAGGTGCTTGTAGTAAAGCGAAGGTGAGAGAGGAAGACGTAAGGCCGATGTCATAGTTTGCGAATCGAGCGATTCGCTAGCGAATCGCTGGATCCGAGCGTTGCGCCAGCGAATCGAACGTTGCACCAGCGAATCGAACGATGCACCAGCGAGTCGAACTATGTACCAGCGACTCAATAGTGGCGGGACCCAACGTTCAAAGGAAGCCCGCCACTTTCAAACAGTGTCACGTGACAGTGGACGCTGTTTGAAAGTGGCGGGCTTCCTTTGAACGTTGGGTCCCGCCACTATTGAGTCGCTGGTACCTAGTTCGACTCGCTGGTACATCGTTCGACTCGCTGGCGCAAAGTTCGATTCGCTGGTGCAACGTTCGATTCGCTGGCGCAACGCTCGGATCCAGCGATTCGCTAGCGAATCGCTCGATTCGCAAACTATGACATCGGCCTAAGGAGATGAGTTTCTTAAGCGAACGAGGGCAGGCCCGAATGCTTGGTTGAAGAAAGAGACAAAGAAAAAAAGA